TTTTCAGACATTCTACAACACAACTCTTTGCCTGAAAAACCATCGAAATCTAAGTTCCATTGGAATGTCCGATCTAAATCTATGTCCGTGGATTCCAGCATCAGTTAGTTTGTCTTCAAGTTTCCATTCACACGTATTGGGGCTGTGTAAGTACCTGTTCTTTCAACCTTTTGTTTTTATTAGATGAATACTTTATAATTAAAAATACAAATTTCTTTAGAACTGATTTTATAAATTTTTTGTGTTATATGTCTTTGACTCGGAAATAATAAAGAATGTTGTAAAGCACAAGCTGGTCAAGGGTAGGGATTTAATTAGTCATTTTTGCTGTGTATAGTTTATCTCTTACTTAGTAAGATTTTTTCTGAATATATGTACACTTTTATTTAAATTAAAAACAAAGACAGGATTTAATAAACAGTTACTAAACCTTAGGCTTTAAATTTCAACATTAATTATATCCGATTTTTATAGTAACACCCCAATTGAATACTTATATTTTCTTTCTTTCATTCTTTCTATTAGTATTATCTTGTTATGTTCCAGAACTACTTAGTGTATAATGAATAGATAATTTAATAAGGCAAAGTATAAAGCATTTGATTTCTACAAACTGGTCAGTAGCAAACAAAGAAGAAAATTGAATTTCGATTATTGACTTCACTCACTTTATCTATATGTATGAGATAGTGTAAAATTCATTATTTCGAAAAAGATTGTGTTTTAAACTTTATTCGTTAAATTTGATAACTGAGAGAGCAGATTATCAAAGAGACAGATAGATAAACGGACATCGCATTATCGGTATATTTTATAGACTGGTCAAAACTAAATTGGATTTTATCAACTTACTTTTTTCATTACAATATAGTTGCTACTAATAAATATATCAAGTAGTCTTTCATTCAATCATTTTTGAAGAATTATATTTTGTAACAGAACAGTCCTTCCTCTTCTCATCTAAATTGTGGAAAGTACAGTCAACCCATCTAAAACTATGGGTACGAAATAAAACCACACAGAATATAAAATATTTAATATGCCCACATATCAATAATAATAAAGTAAATTAAAATTACTGAGAAAATTATAAAAATAAATAATTATGAGAAAAAAATTTTCTCACGATCACCTCTGCAAGTATTTTTAAACTTTTTGAAATCCACGTGCAAAAGGGGGAAGTCAAGTATGAAACCACCACCACATCGCTGAGACCACTGCTATGCAGATACATGTACTGCTATGCGGAAGAAAGCCAGGAAGTTAAGGAAGCGTCTATGCATACAATTGTAAAGGACAATATGACGGCTCTCTTGTGTGTCTACCTTCTATATATCGCCTTTATGCATATGAGTAAAGTTGCATTTATGCATTGAAATTTCTCCCTTTTTTTATTAATTTTATAAATTAGAAGTAAGAACGTTTCTAACGACACTAAAAATAAAAACAGTGTTTCGGGACTCAGAACGTATGGGAATTTAAATTACAATAGTAAAGGCATGCGAAGCTATCGAAGGATACGCGCAGTCAGAGCTGTGTGTGCATGGGAACGTGCACCAATCCACCCTAAAATTATTAGTGTATTATGAATAAGAGGGCGTTTTCAGGTATCCTTGTCGATACCAGTGCAATAAGTAGGTGAAAATAATGTTTTGCAGTTGGACATCAAATTCAACTTAAATAATTATTTATTACCCCATGTTCCTATAAATGCAAATAAAATTGAAATAAAATTAAATGCTGGTATTTAGCTGTAATTATACCACAGAACTAAGAGTTCAGTTTTACAAGAATATTACCTGAAAAACATGAATACATTAATTAAGATTTTAAGTGTACCTTGCATTCGATTTATTATGGAAGTACCACCAATTTCGATTTTGTGTAAAAGATTTTTGGTTTTTCCATTTATTTATATTGAAAAAGCAATTCATATAAGACGAATTTTATAAAATTTTTGACGGCTGAGTTTTCATTTTATCTCATGGAGCAGAAACCCCACTATGTTGAATGTTTCTCTATTTATTACACAGCATTAGAACTCCAAAGTTTCCCTTTCTATGGCTTACCTCTACGTCATAACCGGTCAAAACTTAACAATAGTTCGTTGTTGAATCGCCTAACGGGTCTCAAAGTACAGTTTGCCTTGTATTATTTTTTTTTGGTTCAATGGTGACTTGTTTTCATTAATATTGATAACTTAATCCACGGCTGTCCAAAGTACGGCTAATGCTTGTGAGGCACGAGAAATATTTTGAAAGTACCATAACTACGAAAATTTTCTTTTGGTGTACTGGTAAAACTACATTATTTTATTACTTTTTATTGTATACTAAATAAATGAAATTAAATTAATAAATTTATAAAATTAAATTTAACATAATAACCGTATTTATATTTTTGTCGAAAACAATTATGAACGTATTTGTTTCTACGGCCCTCCAATCTGTATAGAGACTTGTATTGTCCCTCGATTGCATCTGCTCTGAACAGCCCTGATTTAATCCATTCGAAGTAACAGCACTGTATTTGAAATAAATTGGTCTTTTTTAATTATTTCTGAATATTTATTATATTATCATACAATACAAAAGATGCTTTTATGAGAGAAAATTATATATACATTACTTATACTATACTTATTAATGAAAAGTATGACACATTAAAGCCCTACTCATGACTGAAACGTAGAGGCCAATCCCACATTAGCAACAGTATAAGTCTCAGATATACTTTATAATAAATTTTAGAAAACTTTTTTTTATTAAAAATTAAGATTCTATTAGAATTTTACTATAAAAATTAAGAATATGTATGGTTTTTTATTTTAAATTGCATGGGTTTAGAACATAATACTCCTTGTTTCCACCCAAATGAGCTCATGTTATTTATTGACGATTTTAGAATATTAAATCTCAATATTACCTGGCGGGAATACTTAAATACTTTACTAAACACTTAGTTCTAATTTGATTTGAAAATTTGGATTTTAATTGGATTCATTTATTATTGTAGGCTTATGTGTAAAAGTTTCATTAAACGAAACAGTTTATTTTATCGAAATTGAAACTAGTTTAATTTAGTATAATAAAATTATTTTAAGGAATCCGATTTCAGGGGAAATCTTAAGTAATTTATTCTCACATATAAACAAAACTTATTTCATTTAATTTGGCAATTGTTCTTATAGCTCATCAAGATTTGCTGATATCGTCCCTATTGGGAGTGGTGAGCCTATGGTGGTCGTTGTTGTTGACGAGTGGATCTGGTACGTAAACCCGACTGCTTCTTCTGTAATCATTATTATTAATTAATAATTGAACATAATGATTGATGTTATGATCATTTGTTATAACAAACTGATATATCTTTCAAGAAGGTCAAACAAAAATTCTAATCAATAGAGTACAGATATGTGATTAAGTGACATCATATAATAGGAGAAGTGGTGGAATACCTTGAATGTGTTCCAGTTCATGAAATAACTGTGTTAAATTTAATTTCAATAAAAAGATACAATATTTCAGAAGGTCTCATAAGTATATATCATTTTTCGGTGCGATTATACTTATCTCAGGCGTTACAGGTTGACAATAAATTTTGGAAAAATTGCCAATTCAGAGTAACTTTTTTTTACTACTCAATATGCCAATGGTTCTTTAAGTATCGGTCCGTAAAATTGTAAATGTTAAATATATTAAATAAATATTGCTGGTACTTATTGTCTCGAAAATATTCTGATTAATCAATTTTTACTAAACAACAATATTAAATTTTTATTAGATATGGAAAACATGTTTGTATTATGAGTATTTATTTACTTAAGATATGCTATGGTGTATGATTCGGAACTGTTAACAAATGTATAGCGGACTGTAGAGTGCATTCAAATAAAAAGCAAGGAAGCAAATTATACATTTGTATGTACATATTTCCATGACTTATACTGCATTTATTTCTGGGCACATGTTCATTCCCCACTCTCGACGTGAGAGAATGTGAGTCATGCGCAAAGAAAACACATTTAAAGCATTGGGTTTATATTGCACATTATGCAGAAAATGTGTGAAACAATATATTTGCTGTTATTACAATTGTTTTTAATCGCATTTAATGTTTTCTTATCCACATTGTGAACCTGTAACCATGTTGTGCCAACTTTATACCATATTGCATTATTTTTAATATTTGCTTATTATAATTCTTATCACATAGAGAAAATGAGGACAAATTCAAAATGAGCGCATATTAGTCTTTGCGGCAATTTATTTTAGCATTGCCAACTCAAATAATAAATGTATATAACAATAAATCTATTAAATATTGATGTATGATTTTAATTTGTTTGTGTTTATGTAGTTAGACGATTTTTTTAAATATACGTTATTAAAATGGATTCATGCATTATTAAATGCATATAATCATCTTATATTATCAATAATTATCTATAATACATATCAACTCATATTTCTTATAAGAAATGTGTATTTGAAACTATTTCGTTATAATCATATAATATCAGTTTGACATAATAAATATTGTATTATTTTCATTAATTGGGCACACGTATTTTACGGTCATAGAACTTTATACTTGTAAGCATTTACTTAAAAATTATTTGATATTTTAATCGTTTAGGAGTTTTTGAAACATTTTATTTTAAAATATTCATTGCATATATTATACATGTAGAATAATTAATATATATATATATATATATAAAAGTTCTTAACTATATTATATTAAACTATATAATTACGATAAAATTTGAAAAATGCACAAAAACAGAAAAAAACGTAATGTTAAAATGCTTTACATTGTTTTTTTAAGTTTTTAATAATTCTCATTGTTTTTAAAAAAATTATTGCATTTTAAAAATGTTGTAGAAAATGCAACTGGCAGTGCTTAATAAGAGCGATAATAATTTGTATGAATCCATAAATTGAGTGCAAGAGCATTATTTTTAGCCTGCTCTCACATATGTATTGAAAAATATGGAACGCTGGACTCAGTCGCGTGTGTCTCATTCTTGCAAACTGTTGGTGAATAGTAATTGATAAGTGCTTTGCTCAATACAATATTTTGTTGATACAAATTGAAGTACAAAAAGTAAAACAGAAAGCGAAAAATAGGTGTGAACTATGTGCAACATAAATATAAATATAAGGAATAATTAGCACTCATTAATAAATCAGTAAATCAAAAGAATACAATGCAGAGTCCTAGAACAAACGCAGTGAATGGTGCAATATCATCCTTGCCTAGTACACTGGCACAATTAGCATTAAGAGATAAGCAGCAACCACCGTCACTGCCACAGCAGCCACCAAATTTAAGCAAAAGTCATATCGATGGATCTTTAAATTCGATTGCCTCGAACGGCAGTGCCGGCGATTCAAATAAGTTAACAACCGAACTGCAGGAAAAAGAAAACCAAAATCAACAACAGAAGCAAAAGCCACCTCTACCAGCACGTAACAAGCCAATGGAGATAGCTGGATATGTGGGGTTTGCCAATTTGCCAAATCAAGTGTATCGCAAAGCTGTGAAGCGTGGTTTTGAATTTTCATTGATGGTAGTAGGTGCCAGTGGTCTTGGTAAATCAACATTAATAAATTCAATGTTTCTTTCGGACATCTATAATAATGAACAGTATCCAGGACCTTCGCTACGCAAGAAGAAAACAGTGGCTGTAGAAGCAACAAAGGTGCTACTCAAAGAAAATGGTGTGAATCTAACTTTAACAGTAGTAGATACCCCTGGTTTTGGAGATGCAGTTGATAACACTGATTGTTGGGTACCAATACTAGAGTATGTAGACAACAAATATGAAGAGTACTTAACTGCAGAATCGCGTGTGCATCGAACGCAAATTCCGGATAATCGTGTACACTGTTGTCTTTATTTTATAGCTCCTTCTGGCCACGGGTTAAGGCCATTAGATATTGCTTGCATGCAGAGTTTATCAGATAAAGTTAATTTAGTACCAGTCATTGGAAAGGCGGACACTCTCACACCCGATGAGGTGCATTTGTTTAAAAAACAAATACTTAATGAAATCGCACAGCATAAGATAAAAATTTATGATTTTCCATCTACGATTGAAGATGCAGCAGAAGAAATCAAAACAACACAAACATTACGCAATCGTGTACCATTTGCAGTTGTAGGTGCAAATACCATTATTGAAGTCGATGGGAAAAAGGTAAGAGGCCGACGATATCCTTGGGGTTTAGTTGAAGTGGAAAATTTGACACATTGCGATTTCATTGCACTTAGAAACATGGTCATTCGCACACATCTACAAGACCTCAAAGATGTCACAAATAACGTTCATTATGAAAACTATCGCTGCCGTAAACTTTCAGAGTTGGGACTCGTTGATGGTAAGGCACGTTTGTCCAACAAAAATCCTTTGACTCAAATGGAGGAAGAGAAGCGTGAACACGAACTTAAAATGAAAAAAATGGAAGCCGAAATGGAACAAGTATTTGATATGAAAGTTAAAGAAAAAATGCAGAAATTAAAGGATTCCGAATTGGAGCTAACACGACGCCATGAAGAGCGCAAAAAAGCGCTGGAATTACAGATACGTGAGTTAGATGAGAAGAGGCGTGAATTTGAGCGAGAAAAGAAAGAATGGGAAGAAGTTAATCATATCACGCTAGAAGAACTAAAAAGACGTAGCTTGGGTGTGAATAGCAGCAGCGATAATGTCGATGGCAAAAAAGAGAAAAAGAAGAAAGGACTATTTTAATTTTAATGGTAAATCCTAAAGCAGTATTTTACTAAGGATATTAACACTTGACGAAGTTTAAGAAAAATTTAGAATACCTAAAATCGTATTAAAAATACTTATATTTAAAACTATATTCTGCATTGATAAAGTCTTCATTAGTTAAACTATAAGCGAGAAATACCTAAGACAGTAGGAGAGCAGAAGCAGCAAGTGGGGTTTTCAACTGATGAACTTTATGTACTGTCGTAGCGCAGTTTTGCAACTATTGATACGCATCGCATTGGTGCTACTAAACTCTATTATGGACGAAGGTATGTGTGTCTCTATTTGATTGCGTAGCTTATATATAAACAGATATGCGTAAGGAGTCGTGCTTGATTGAAATTTTCCCAGGATCTTGTATGTTTTAATTTCATACCTCTCCCACTAACAAACAAACCAACGAACGTTCACTGCTAGTCGAGTCATACTTAATAAATAAGCAACATCTGACGCTGATATTATAGCCCCTACAATGTATATTTGGTAGCAGTTGTTTGCGTGTCAATTCCAAAAAAAGAATTACTATTACGATAATTGGAAGTAACGCATTTGTAACAGTTAATACTTTCTCATTACGGGAAAATATTTATTTATAACTTCCACAAAAGATTAAAAGAATGTGCTTTATCCTACAAGTTTGCTTTTATATATTTCCTATGCCCATTATCCTAACTATAAGTACAATTATTATTATTAATAATAATTTTGAATTTTATTATAAAAATCCTTATATATTAATTGTAGAAGAATTTATGTTTTTGAAATTTGTGTTTTACATCTAAATATTTGTGTATGTATTTCTCAAACTGTATATACGCGACATTTTAATTTAATAAAAATTTCTACTTCAATTATACAAATGAAAAAGTCTTTCTTTATTTAATGGAAATTTCAGTACGAAAACAGGAAATGCAATTTACAGAAAATTTTTCCATAAATAAAAATTTCTGTTTTTGAGTTTTGCTTCTGGAGAAAAGTTCATTTACACTCGGGGCAAAGCATTACACACAATTCACCACTACATCACAGCAAAAGCACAGAAAAGGAAAAAGAGAACATAAAAAGCATGCCCTTCCCTAGATTGCTGTATAAATTATGTCAGTTGTACAAATCACATGTAAACACACACACATACAATATAAAACGAAAGGAAGTGTTCACTGTAGTCTGCAACTATTCATAGTAGAGTAAACGGCGTTGCCAACTAAGTAGCTTAATCGAGGTACTTCATTTATAGGGACAACTTCATTCAAGCACAAGAAATGCCTGTGGAGTTATTGATTTTTCAATGGACTATTTTAAAGTTGTGCTAAAAAGGTTTTCTGCTGTGTGGGAGTGTGCTTAAAAATGCTTCTTAAAAATTTTTTTTTTTTGTAATTTGATGTAAGTTTTAATTTCTAACGTATTAGCACGCTAATAAATTTTATACGTTACTGGTCGTGCATATAAAACATTTTTTTATTTTGTAAAAATGTATTAACACGCTTAGAGTTCTTTCACATCAACATTTTAAGCTTAATACGTAAATTGAAATTTATGTACATGCCATATATAATTAAAATTTTTTTTTGTTGCATTTACGTCCCGCTATTCTTCATATTGGAAAGCACTTAGGCAATATTTGTGAGCAATATGATGATCAACCATGTTGATACTCGTATTTCAAAACGAACGATGATTCAAAAGCAAAGCAAAACAGAGTAATGCAAAGGAAAATGACTGTATTGAGGAATTTTAAAAAAAAAGCTGAGTAGCTTTTTTAAACAAAATAATAAAGCAAAAACAATCGGTACATTTGCGTGGTTTTTATTGTTTGATGGCTCATTGTGGCTTCTAATATGTGCTGTAAAGCATTGCGCATACTAAAATATTAAACAGATTTTTTCAATCTATTATGAAAATGATTATTCATACAAAAAGTTTTAATATGATTTTGTATAAAACACATTATTGTTAACAGAAGTTCTTAAATAACGAAGTAGAACAATTCTAAATTTAGCCTAATATAAATATGTGTATGTATGTATGTGTTTGTGTGTAAATACATACATTTATTTTATAATTCATTGCTTTTGCAACCGTTTATTTGCTTGAGCTTCGTTTTACTGTAAATATTTGTTTTACTGCTTTTGCAGGCGCAATTAACTATGCTGTTGCACTGGTACCATTGCCGATCGTGCGCGTAATCAATGCAGTGGTTTTGTTTTTGTTATCCGAAGTAAACAATAAAACACAAACAAGAAAATAAACTTGTTTAAGTGAGAGAAAGTGAAGCAAAGAGTTTTTTCTGTTGCGTTGTTGTTGTTCTTGTTGTAGTTTTGAACTTATGAGAGCTAATCGACTGTGCCACTACAGCCAGCAGTAAATGAATTCCACATGATGTGGTATTGATGTAGTACCAAAAAGATTATTACTGGCATCCGTGTGTCGTGAGCATAAAGCAAAATGTAAGTAGCGTGCCTGACTGCCTGCAGAGGCGATTTGTTTAAACAGAAAATGAAGATCTGTAACTGTTTGGGGTCGCTATATGCAAACATAATAAATTGCTAAGCATATTGTTAAAAATTAATTTAAATAAATAACTATAACAAACTATCCCGCAACATAAATATTTGAGGATATACCTCAAAGGATCTGTAGGACACTAAATGTTTATTTTTAGTTATGGCGGTGTGAATTTTTGATTTAAAGTATTTGTGTGTGGAATTCTTTTGGTTTCCCTACTGCCCTACACACACCAGCAACAAGCGAGATCATTAGGGATCACTGAAGATTAGTCGCATTGGTTTGTTTATTCCTTTGTGGGGATATTCAATTTGTTTGGTATAAGAGGTTAGTGGTTGCTCTGACATTTATGACATTTTGGGAACCTTTCTCAATTTTCCCAAATGACAATATACATACGTAACATACATATAAGCGGAAGTGAAATTTTTTTTTTATAAAGAATTTATAATATTAAAACTTTATTGAGTTTATCTGTTCAGGTTGAATATTATTTTAATTTATTCAACATAAGTAATTTTAAGGCATATTTTAAAATCAAACCAATGACATTCTTAAATTTACAATAATTATGTAAAGCTGATTTTGACAGAACCACAAAATTGAATTAAAGTGTTATATAATTTATTTCCATATATAAGTGTTACACATCAACTTGTTTTATATATTCTTATACATGGTGTGTCATATTATATTAGTTTTAATAAAAATATATACTCATTAATATAACAAAGTTTCTTTAATAAATAAGGTTAAGTTAGGTTGGAGTGGTGGATAATACGGATTAGTTCTGGATTTTGAAGAATGACACTTTCGGGTCAGTTAGAAAAGGAGTCCCAAAGATTTAAATTTTCTTTTAGCCAATGATGTGTAATAAGTTAACATTAGTTTAATACATATATTGTAAAATATGTTTTTGAAAAAACCGTGTTCCAACGCTTTCAAGCTGAATTTTGCATTAAGATATAAGAATACTTTAAGGTGCACACGTGACCGAAGTGCCTGTATAGGAATGCTGCGTCAGGCCGAAACCCGATAACCGGTGGTTATGACCATTTGAGTAAGTTAGGAATATTATTCTGTTGAATTAAATTTAACCATGCAATGGTAGTCAGTCAGTATTGGACACTACGTATTGTCGCAAGCATACATTAACAGCCGGAAGAGTGAGTTAGATATGTTAATATATAGATTATAGATAGATAATAGATAATAATAGATCCTGTGTGTAGAAGGATACATTTATAATGAAATTAAATTCATTATCATTGTGTCCTCTTATTGATGAATGTGTTTATTTTAGTATTATCAATGTGGTAAATTTAAAAGAAATGAGGCTTTAATATTTTTTCCTGATAATGTAGGAAAACCAAAAGTCAGGTTTGCATTATAGTAAGAGAGCAAATCTGTTTAAACATTTGTAGCAAAAAAAGAATGATTTTAAAATTGTGTTTAAGCAAAACAACCTTTCCATTCTAACTAAGCCTAAGTTTGGTGCTTGCTCTTTTAGGATTTACTTGGCACTGTTTTTAGGCTGCTCACAAGTTTAAATTTGAATTCTATTGCTTAAGTTTTTCTTGAGTCTATTGCTATTACTATAGACAAATTATGAAAATAAATTTAGTTTAAACATGAACTACATAAAGTATGAATTAATGTATTACCCTGTATGATGATAGCATATGATGATATGATGGGTAAAGTATTTGATTTTGCATGACCTAAATTCACCAGATATACAATGAAATCTGTTCTCATGGTCATTTTGACCTCATCAAGCACTTGTAGTTGCACAAAAAAACTTTTTTGATATTTTACATAAAATAAAAAGCCAATTTTAATACTTAACCGCAACTAATTTAACCTCAGCTTATGCAGGTTATGCAGGATTTTAATACATTTAATCACTGTTATCCTCTTTCTAAATACTCGCACAAAGCACAATGTAAAGGGTTTGAGCGTGTAAGTGTCGCATGTTCTTTATCCACACTAAATACCGCATATTTTATTCTCATAATGTAAACACGAATCGAAAGTAATTTAATATTATAAAAGTCAGTTTTGGCATACAAAGTATAATTATCGGTGCACACAAATTAACTGTAGACTGAGGTGACCAGTTGTGCCGTACGGTATCAAACAGCTGCTAATGGATTGTAATTCTGTTAGTCATTTTGCAGTGATATTGTAACTTTTACTGGTAGTGTTGATTTCCGATAAGAAGAGAAAAGGAGATAGTCGCCTCTTCACCTCAGCATAACACAGTATAATCGAAGGTGCGGATTGATACCTTTTGTTGACTTTTTCGGGAATACGTGGGAATATTTTTACAGACTTCGTTCAATTTTCTTTGATTCATTAGCTTCCTTTCAAATATAATTGTGTTGCGAAATTTTTATATCATTTTAATTAATATTATTGTGCTGGTATTAAGTAATGAACTAAAAGAGAGTCCTGCAAAATATGCTGGCACTCTGCGGTATTTAAAAAAATTCTTGTAGGCTAAATGTTTAATTTTTAGGTTTAACATAAATTGTTTACATTTCTGTTTCTGTTTAAATGCAAACTCATAGAGTTCATTAGAAAGTCTTCTTTTTTAATTAATGGTCATTAAATTAGACGCCATACAATCAGTCTATGTGTATCACTTTCCTTTGATTAGACCGATTTTTCAATTCGAAATTCTTTTTGAGTTGAGTAGTTGTAAGTATTTAAACCGGAACTTTATATCAATTTATTTTATGTGTAAATCAAAATATGTAACATTTTCTATCTCAAAGTTATTTAACATACACTGTTCTATTATTCAAACAAATATATTATCTGGGTTAAGTCCCGAACTAAACCCTTTCTGTCTACGCACGTACATCATTCAAATTAATTCACACAATGTTGACAGCTCTCAAACTTCCTCATTCTTCTTGACTGGTTTCGTTCAGCCCAAGGGTAAAATGTTTAGTTAGATAAGGGCGCATCTAGGCCTTGTAATTTTATTTCATTTTATTTTAATTTCGAATTTAAACTCTTCTGTACATTAATTTTATGATTTCTCTTACATTTATAGACTTTAAATATTTACATAAAATGTTTAACTTAGCAGATAGGACAGAGAACTTCATTTATTCCTTCGCTTTTAATGATTGTGGGAATTTATTTCGAGTTCATGTCTAGAGATAAGAAGCTCTATTTGCATTTGTAGGTGTCAGAATAAATAACAAGGTTTGGTAAATTATTTGCGACAAAAACAATTTAAGGTTAAGGTTTGTAATACAAAAATTGATAGTAGAAGTACTGTAGTACAGCACTTGCTAAGTTTTAAAACATTGGTTTAAGTATTATATGTGATTACTTAAAAAAACTATCAAGGCGCCGAAAATATACAATGTATCTATCTATGTTTAATGTATCTACATAATGTACCAATCGTCATTGAATAAAGTATCTATCAATAATTATGGGACATTTATTTTCGAAGAAGAGAGCTTAGACAAAAATAGCATAGGTTCTTAGCAGTTAATATTTTATATATGTGTACTTAAATAACAGTTTTTTTTTTTATTTTTTGGAGAAGCACCACAACCAATGGGTTTTTCATTTTGTATAAATGTGTCATTATGGTTTTATATAAGGGAGTATTTATTGTATGCCTTCATCACATAATACTTGTTGAATGATGCCAATACCGGACACAGCAGTCTTGAATTATGATAGATATATATTTATTGTTACGACTTTTTTTAGTGATTGTTCTAGAAATGCTATAGAATGACATTATTATAGTTCACTAAAGACAAAAGATTTGAAAACAAAATTGGTTTAAAATTGGCAATAGAAGTCTACCCAAAGAGCTCTTTTTTACCCAAATAGCGTTTTTATGGAACAACTAATGCAAAAGAGAACGATAATAAATAAGTTAAACTTGGTGCAGAAATGCAATGGAGAGCAGGTTATTCTTTATGGCAATACAATTGAGAATTTTGATAGAATAGTTAGTACAATTTTATTTAGAATTATAAGATCTGTGTTGTTTAATTTACTCATCTCATTATCTAAGGATTAACATATATATTATATATAAAAGATAACCAAAACATACAATATCTGTAGAAGTGTTTATTATAAAAAATGTTCTATAAGAGATCTATAAGAGTTGTGTTAGCTCCCAATTTTTATATATAATCTTCACGGGGATGTAAAGTAAATATTTAAAAATAAATATACTAAAAAAATTGGGTCGAACTACAAAATTTGAATCAATGAAACTCGTTCTTCAAATATCGACTTATTTTAATAAATAACTTAGAACCATCTTTAAGCTATCGACTTGAAATGTAATGAGATATTAATTTATATAGGTGCTTTTGTGATAATGCTTCACCGCGATGTTTTTACTTAAATAAATTTCGGACACTTTTTACAATTATTATTTGAAGTGTTATGTTCATTTCACTATACAATATCCATAGAATATTTTGATCTTTAGTTATGAAAAAAAAAAAAAAACAATAAAGCAACTCATCAGTTTCTTTCAGACTCATTTGGTTCTCAAGATTTTAATCAAATTAAACTTTGTGGGAATAAAATGAAATGAATACGCCAACCAGCAGAAATGCCATTTTAACCAGAAGGTGAAGAAGCGACGTGAAAGAAGAAAAACACTAACAACGATAGTAACACCTACAAATAAACCGACAAAAACAATAGGAACAAACGTTTTCAGCCAGACAGAAACAGAATATGCAGAAACATAAGCAGTTAAACAGACAGACATGCGGACAAACAGACAGACAGACATACACCTGTTAAGAAATGCTATTTATGCAGAACGAAGCAAGAGCAGTAGCAGTGCAGCGAACAACAACAACAACAACAACAACAAACAACAAGAACAAGAACAACAACATTATTAAGTCGAATGAGTTGAAACGAGTTCATAAGGGTGAAATGCAAAAATATATTCCCAGGATGCGCAAGACAAAAGGAGCTCAGGAGTTATGAATTTCATATACATATACATATGTACATCCATATTTATATGAGAAGGAATTATAGCATAAAAAATGTATTTTCTTTTACAGTAAAATTCCAAAGATCGCAGCGTTATCGAAAAATGATGATCACACTTTCAGCGTGCGAATCAATCTACATGGTTAGGGATAAAGGACATTTAAATTCTGGAGTCCTCACAAAAAAAAAATATATATATTAAAAATGATTTGTATAATGAAAATTGTAAACTGATATTTCATTATTTTTTGTGTCTGTGAAAAGTGGAAAAAAGAGCCAAATACCGCTAAAAAGGTAAACGTAGAGAATTATTCCAGTTTTGTTCTTTTACAGTAAACGGAAGTAATTTTTAGATGAGTGAGATACTTCCGTCTGTACTCCCATGGATGTTGCGGAAGTTGTTGCAAATAATTATGGGTATTGACAACGAAAAGAGGGAAAGTGAGTGTATGTTGTGGAATATAGTTTTTTAAAAATTGAAACATTCATGAAGTTGTCAAGATACTGTAAAGATACGGTATGATATATTAATATATACCACATATTATAAAATATCATCTTTTTGCACAGAATAAATACAAACTCTACTTATTAGATATAAAAGTGCTTAAATTGAAGTTATTAATTTACATTGCGTAATATATTCGGATACCAAAACAGAAAGCCATAAATCCTCTTTTTAAATAATAACTTTGAGCTAAATACTAGGTTTTAAAATAAAATACAGTCAATAAATAGAGTTATATAACAACTTAGGGGTTGTGTTGACTTAGCTACAGAAAGAGCTATCTGTACTCTTTGGGAGGTATTGAACTAATACAAGAAGTGAATATACAACGTGAATATCTGTGCGCAAGCTGGTACCGTTTAAATATGCAAGAGTCTAGCATTCTCTTTAAGATATCTCTTAAAGATATCAGTTAATAGTGGGTTTGCTGATGGAATAGCGTTAATTAGGTATCTATGTTAGAAAATTGAATCTTTCTTACAATTTGTTCTTGCCACAGTTGTTAGAAGGTGGTCGTCCAATGTATATGCAACATGAATTCAACAAATTAAGCACTTTCTTAGTTAACTGCAGGAATTCTGTTTAAAATGCATTTTAAGCTTTATTAAAGATCTCAAATGATTCAAAAACCGTCGAGTTTTATACAGTTATACATAAGAGACAGAGCCTTGAAGCTAGGTATTCGTTAGGCTACCCTACTTAGCACTATCTAATTTCAGTATAATCTCTAGCCACACCGGGCCACACCGGATACACAGATCACATAAAGGAAGAGGAAGAGGAACACATAAATTAGTCAGTGAGAAGAGTGGAACTCTGCAGAATCCACCCAGCTATCAAAGAGTAAAAGTACCCAGATACACTAACTCGAAAAAGGACTCAACATGAACAATGGCTCAATAGGCATAGGTAGACCCCTGAAATCATCGTTATTTCATTTAAATTATTTTTGCAATATGTTAAAATTTAAAAAATGGAATCTGTTTTCCCTTTTTTGTTTTTCTGAGTTTTTGCAATGGAACCGAAAGTGTTATGCGGTAAAACAAAAGTACTGAACCACTGAATAAGTTGTCGTTCGATATTGCAGTTTTTATATACCAAATCGAATAGCTACTCAATGGCCCAAGATGCGAACACCAATCCATAATTGGCAACAGCAGCACTAGAGGCAGCACTAGAAGCAGCACTAGAAGCAGCGCTGAAGCAGCACTTAAATTGCTGACAGCATCAGTACAGCTCTTGTCATACTTTCATGCCATGAACATCGAAGCATTTAAGTAGAAAACTTGCACTTGTCGAGAGTAAAAAAAATAGAAAAATTAAAAAAAATAAATGAAATGAGGGTAACATTTATGAGATACATAAAAGACAAAAAATAAAAAATTTAAATAGTATGTATTTAATTTTGATTGAATACGTTCTGAACGGAATTCTATGTATTTAAACGCGGGCATGTAGAATTTGTGACGTACTGATTTATCGTTTCAATTAAAATTGATATTAAAATAGATTTTAAAAACCGGATACATTCACGTTTTTGTGGGGTTAAAAATTGAAAATGACACAATTTTGACATTTATGGTTCAACTATGTCACATACATGATACGGTCATGTGATGCTGTAAATTGCTTACTTACACTTCTTCATCGCTGAAGGAACATATTGAAATCATAAAAATTCAGTTATGGACAATATATACATTACAGCTTAGAACTATTGACGTTTATATATTGACAATCACAACAAGTAGAATATGGATTTTCTTCATCAGCAAATTGGAAGGAAAAAATTAATTGTTTAAAATGCTAATTCCAAAGCTAAATATCAGTTAGATTTGAAGCATTTTTCAATTGTTTAATAATACACATCAATAATTCTTCTTATATTTCTTAGAAGTATTCCACTCATTAAATAAAATGCTTTCTTAATTTAATTTGCTTTATTTAGTTTAACATAATTTGCTTCCAAATACAACTCTCTATGGTGCTACCCAAATTCTACAACAATCGATTATTTGCCAGTTGCAATAATCAAAGAGATGATACCTAGACCCATATTGTTGAATTTAATAGATCTTCAGTTTTTAACAAAGTAGAGTTCAAAAAACTGTCAAATAAGTGCTTCCTAAAAGCCTTTTACTTTCGGAAAATATTTTATTTATACAAAATATTTTATTGTTTCTCACTCCCCTAAGTTTTAAAAATATCTACAATGAATATGCTTCAGTGATTAGAAATGATTACAGTAACCAAATAGTATTCATAAGGTCCCGGGTATAAATTGTTCAAAATCTGATCTTGTTTTATGAAGGTCAATCGCTAAGTTATGTATGACTTAATATTAATTAACTATTAGTAGCAAAAAGAGATAATTACTTCTACTAATGAAATCTGGAAACCCCAAAACGTGCAAAACCGCTTGCTTTTTCATCCTTTCCAGTATTCAGAAACTATAACGAGAGTGATATTAGCAAGACTGTTTAACTTGACTTAAGACTGTATAAAATATGAGAATTTTTAATATTTTCTAAAAGATTGAAAATGTAGACATTTTCAAACAATAAAATTTTTCATTTGTGCATTTGCTTAGTATTCAAGAGGAGTATCTTTTCAATAAAGATCTGAGATTCCTAAGTAAACAGCTGTTTCCGTTTTGTGGGATTTTAATCCTTTCATTTACCGTCTTAAATATTTGGCGCGTTCCATATTAAACTGCCTCAATATTCTTGAAATTTTTTATAGGAAGTCTTTATATCTATAAAAAAAATTTATCTATAAAACACATTACAAACATTTCGTATCTTTAGGTCCTTCAATTAAAATGGCACGTTCCAAGGCATTTACTAAAGCGTATACTTTCAAAAAGAAATACGTTACAACATACAATTACCTAGTCCTTTTGAGCTCAACAATGAGCAGCTCAACATATAAAAGGCCAATCATTTTTACCCCAAAAATTACATGCAGTGCAGTTTTATAGACACAAGTTCTTTGTAACACACAACGGAAAAAAATAATTTAATATTTTGAGCGGCAATTTTTTCACTTCGAAGATGAGTCCATTTGCTCAAAAAATGCCTCAAAGACTCGGAAACACATTCTTAAGCTCAAAAATTTATTACGAGCGAAAAGTAAGTGGATATAATTTGATAATGAAGGGATGCCGAAAGGGCAACATAATCGGTTTTATACAATTATATATCTGCTTGTCTTTTATTGAGCGAATGGTGACTATTATGAGCTATTGCTACGATAAAGGTAGATATACATTTATACATATTAATAATTTTTTCATCTATGTGTAAAAGTATTGTATTAGATTGAAATAAAAAATATTGTTGTACCAATGGCACATGAACATGTCATTGTACCAGTTTTTCGGTACTTACAGAGACTGCTCATTGTATGAGCTTGGTGCACGGGCACACTCCTTTTTGTAGCAGCTGTCCTTATATTGTTATGGAGAAAGAAGATATCTACTAAATGATTAAATTAATTAAATTGGTTATAAGAACTATTTTTTTTTAAATGAATATTAAGATAAGAAAAATAGACTTTAGTGATACGACAACTTATTGTATAGTCTTTTAAATGAAAGATGGGCTTTTAAGTCACAAGGCTCATTAAGCAAGAAGTATATAATAATTTTGTAGTTCTGCTAACAATTTCATTTAATTGCCAATAATTAAATTGATATGCTTTAAATTTGGGATATTTGGCCAAAACCATTACGACCGTAATATAATGGAGGGCTTTCCGCAAAATTTTGGTTAACACTGTAGGTATACCAAATTATCTGTAGTATACCAAATTCTGCGAACTCACACCACAGGAGTGTATTTGAACCATTTTCATGCTTATGAACATATTAGTTGCTCCTTTTGCTTTCTGCTTTCAAAGGTTTTCAAGCTAAACTGTAAAACGAAAGCAGCAGGACCTGCATCAGAATATGAAACCAAAGCGACCAAAACATGAAACAGCAAGCGTTGATCCTTCATTAAGTATTGGAATATAGCAGAGTGTCACAAAATGAGGCGTGACATTGAAGTATTTGTGCAGCATGGAATAAAATCTCTTTGAATATATATTCCATGGAGGGAGAAGTGGTAAAACTATTAGGCATGCATATTGGGGGCCTTGCAACTTTACAAACCGAACAGTGCTGAAAAGCGGTCACAAGAGTGATAATTGAGTTTTAATACTGCTTATGTATATTAAACAGAGATTGTTGTCAACAAAAATTTGACAATATTTTCTTGTCCTGAAATAAAACAGCGTTGAAATGCTTATTAGTCAAATACTATGAACGTTTTACGGCCGATTCTGAGAAAGACGTCCTTTCTGTTTCGTCTTTGGGTGCCAGGTACACAAATATCACAAGACAATAATGAAATTTTTTGTTTCAAAATATTTACAATGTTTATTGTATATAATCTGTATTTTATTTTCCTAATTAAAAGTAAAACATGCATTCATCTTGCAGACAAAGAAAAAATATTGTACCTCAAATGGCAGATTATTTTTGTGAAAGAAAATCGACTACAATGCAAATTTGTCAAATAACTTTACGAAGCCCTAGAATAGACACAATAATAACTGATAATTCCTTGTTTTGAAAGCAATAAGTATAAGGACATGGCATTTTCCATTTACTAACTTAAGGATTTTATTGTTTATTCAGAAAGACCCCGCCATAAATTTTGTAAACTGCGGAATTATTTTTACGAAATAATTGAAATACTTATAATTACGTTATTATTTTAATAAAGTGATAAAATACACAACATTTACATAACAAATAGGAATATAAGAAGATTTCACAATCAATAACACCTATTGCCTCAACTGCTTTAATGTAATAAACGATCCTGATCGATCGATTAATTAAATAATAACCACGGTTATCTTTCAGATCTTTCTTATTTCAGACTTTGCCCTAAGGTGTTAAATTCAAAATCATTTTAATATTCACCACGGAACAGAACTGGATCGTTTTTAGGTAATTTTAGATGACTAGTCGACTGATAGTTGCCAATAGGTTTGATAACTC